CCAATTTGAACTTTTCGACAATAATACCACTGGAAAGATCATATTATAACTGGTCAAAAACCTGGATTCGGTTGTTCTCCTTATCACACACAACTATCCTTCCATCACTAAGGGTTGCTGTAGACACTGGACACTTAAACTCTCCTCTCCCGCTACCTTCACTTCCAAACTTTGTAACAAAATTTCCACTCAGATCAAGTACCTGAACTCTGTGATTCTTTTCATCACAGACCATAAGCAATCCTTCTTTGTTAACTGACAAGTAACGGGGCTCATTGAATTCTCCATCTTTGATTCCCTGTTTTCCAAATTTAGTAATAAACTTTCCCTCCAGATTAAACATTTTAATGGAATGATCACCACGATCTGAGACTATAAAATATTGACCGTGTTGAATACAGTGATAGGGATTGACCAAAGAACCTGCTCCACCAAATTTACGTGAATACTCCCCACTAGAAGAGAATATCTTGATTAATTTGTTACCTTTATCAGCAACAATAATATCACCGTTGCCGTTTATTGATAAACCTCGAGGGAATTCAAGCTGATTATCACGACTTCCTTGTTGACCAAACTTACTAAGAAAGTTGCCATTCCGATTAAAGACTTGCACCCTGTGATTATAACAGTCTGCCACTACAATATTGCCATGACTATCAAAAGCGATCCCTGTAGGGCAATAGAACTCACCATTATTCTTACCCTTTCTACCAAAGGATCTTAAGTGGGTACCGTCACTACTAAACACTGAAACCCTGTTGTTACCGAGCTCAGTCACAGCAATTTCATCCTGATCATTCACTGCCACCCCATAGGGCATGTTAAGCATTCCAACAGACTCACCTTTTTGTCCAAATGACAGCACAGATCTGAAACGCTTGGTTTTTACATGAGCCTTAAAAGGACTTTCACAAAAATTTGCCCCTTTATCCCCAGCAACTACTTTATTACTTTCTTTACCTTTAGTTCCTGATTGTTGCGCTTCAGTTTCGCTAAAAACAAACTCTACTTTACCTATCCCCTCGCTCATACTCAACAGGTTAATCAGTTTTTCACTTTTAGTGAAACTAAACCAAGGAATACAGTTTTCTTTGGTGCTCTGTTCCTGCAGGATTGAATCAAATGTTTCAGTGAATCCCTTGGTTTCAGAACTAAAACCTCGTTTTAACAGAGTTTCAGTTTGTTCAATTGCTGATTCAATTAATTTAACTTGTTTTTCCACTTCGCCTTTTTTCTGTAAGAGAGATTCCAGTGATTTTGTCGCTTGATTATCAATCACATCAAAAACATCTTGTTTTTTCGCTTCGATGATTGCAATAATTTGGTCTACACAAGACTGCACTTGGCTTTTTACCTCGGCTACTTTCGATTGAAATGCGATGCTTTTTTGGTTGAATTGTTCGACTTCATTTTGTTTTTCCAGTACCTTGTCTTTTAAAGATTTTATCATGGAGCTAATCTGTGTTTTGCCCTCATCAGAAGCTTCTTGCAAAGGCATCTTACCATGACCTTCATGAAGTGTTACAGCACAAGTGCTACAAATGGCGACTTTACAGTCTTTGCAAAAGAATTTCAGCTCTTCTTTTTCATGGTGTTTCTTCTGACAAAATGCTGGTCGCTCTAATACAGCCTTGATGTCTTGATCTTGAAAATCTTTTAGAGCTAGCGTTCTGTGTTTGTTGTTAGCACGCATTATGTCATGTCCTAAAATGCATTTCTCGCACCAAAAGGAACAACACTGGAAACAATACGAGGTCTGAGAACTCCTTTTATCGCAGTTTCCACACTTCACGTTAGCTGTACTACACTCTTTTATTGCCAAGACGTCTAGCAGGCTGTTTATTCGAAAATTGGTGGGAAGTTCGCTGGGAGTTCCACTTCCAGAAATCTGAAACTGTCTTCTGCACTCGGGGCATGTAATTTTGCCTTGGACGCCGCTTGTTCGTTGAATTTCGTTCAAGCAGTGAAGACAGAAATTGTGCAAACAAGGCAACTGCTTTGGATCAGTGAATGTACACATACACACGGAACAGGATACTTCATCATGAAGATTGTCGAGCAAGGTCTTTATATCCATGGAAAAGGTCGGAAGCAAGGTTACTTTTCATAAAATTTTGGCCTCTAGTTGTTGGCGATCAAGAAGCTTCAAGAGAATGGCTTTGCAAATGCACAATGAAGTCTTGTTTTGTGACCCAGACTAAACACTGTATTATTAACCAATCAAATAGAGTTTCTTGACATGTTTTGGTGGTTTGACCGAAGAATAAAAATCATCAAATGCATTTCCAAGAATTGTTAATCAGCTCTTTGAAGCATGGATAAATTGCCGGCAAGCTTTTTTCGCGCGAGGTGGTCAAGAAAGTCGAAAATAGGAATGAAGGAGCTTTAGGTACATTAATTAATCAACCTTCGGCCAAGTCATCTCTGATATATACTGTCTAACAAAATGCTCCAGAAAAAATGGCAGTTGCAGAAAATTTTTACCATTAAAATCTTTAGTTTCTGTGGGCCTTTGGGCCACGCAAGCTTAGACTTCCAACCACCGAGGTGTTGAAGGTGCAGTGAAGTATAACAGGGACTGTTTTTCCTTAAGACCAAGGTGTGTTAACTTATAGAGTATAATTCAGCGTGCAGGTACCTTGAAGGTCATGTTAAGATGCCTTAGCAATTAAGAAACTACAGACGCACGCAAAAAAAAAAGATCAGCTCCGTGATAAAATCTTTGAAAGACAAAGAACTGGAAAAACAAAAGGAAGTCGAACAATTCAACCAAAAAACAATTTCAATCCAAAGACCGAGGTAAAATGCCGAGTGCAGTCTTGTGTAGACAAAATTAATGTGATCATCGAAGCGAGAAAACAAGATGTTTTTGATGCAGTCGGTAATCAAGCGACAAAATCATTGGAATCTCTCTCACAGAAAAAAGACGAAGTAGAAAAACTGAAACTCTGTTGAAACGAAGTTTAGTACTGAAATCCTTGGATTTAGTGAAACATTGGATTCAATCCTGCAGGAACAGGGCACCCAAGGAAACCGTGACACTGAATGTATTCTTCGGTTTAGTTTCACTAAAAGTGGAAAACTGATTAACCTTCTGAGCATGAGCGAGGGGATAGGTAATGTAGAATTTGTTTTTAGCGAAACTAAAGAGCAACAATCAGCATCTGAATTGTCCGTAGTTGTCATTTTTTATCGACACCGCGGTGAAGTGCTCTCCTTCTAATACAGTCGACTCTCTTAACTACTTGTTTATTTTCCTTTGTAGCTAAGTAAGGTTTGTCTAAATTAGTCTCAAAAGTTAATGTCATTTCGTTGGCTGGAAAATACGGTAAAAAAAAACAACTGCCGGCTTAACCTGTTAATTGTGTAGCTCTATAAGTTCCAAACTGGTTCTAACTCACAATTAAAGAGGAAACATGAGAAGGAAGAGTAGACAAGGTCAACCCAATAACTCCTCAATGTCTGATGAAACGTTGCTCTTAGCTGCTGCCGACGTCCAGTTTTCTGGCCAGCATTCAAGCACTAAAAAAAAACCAGTGCGCTCCAAACTTTGTTTTCGTTTCCGTTGCCTGTGTACTAACACATACGTAATACTGTAAACCAAATTTGGTGATCTCTTCGAACAAAGCTGTTCCACGAAGGTACACATTTAGGTAAGTTTCTTTTCTTTTCTTTGTCATGTATAGAAAAAGCTACTCACTGTTAGATGCTTTTGAGTTCTTGAATAAAACCTGCGGAAAATGCAATAGTAATTGAATGAAAAAAGAAAAAAAGCGTTATGACAAAGCTCAGGAAAGGTTCGAATCCAGTTTCTTTTAACACAGCTCAGAATTTGATTTCACACGCGGCGAGCTACTTTATGAGGTGACACATGGCGTACAGCGCATGCGCATTTTTCGAACAAGCGAGCCGCGCTAAGTGTGTAGCTGCCTGTGTGTGATTGTGAAAGCAAACTAACAGCCCATTAAAATGGACATCTGAAGATGTCCCCTCTCCTCACTTTCTACAAGGCGGACGCTTTTCTCGGGTAACAGTAATAACCGGTCCAACGGTCGTCTCAAAGGGTTATAATGAGTGTAACACTATTTTAAAAACAGACGAAATTCTAGTACGCGCTGCCTGAAAACACATGAAGTGTCCTAATTTGGTCAATTTGACTTCACGCGTGAGGAGTGTGGGACGGTACAGAAACGAATTGAACTCTGGGACAGTTTTGGGGACCGATCGCCCTGTTGCAAGGTTGCGCAGGAAACCGGGTGAAAATTCACCATCCCCACCCCCCTCCGCAAACCGTCCAACAGTGATATTAGACACAGTACCGACCTAGTTCATGCCTTAAAAGATTTTAAATGGCCAATGTGTGGAAAATTATCCAGAATACTTCGGGAATTAACCTTGTTTAGCTCACCCTAAGATGGGGCAAATTATTAGCAGTTTTCCGCCAGTTCTTATCATCTATTATCCTTGTCACCCGTGGGAACCTGATTGATATTCCATCAGCTGTGTGAGTATTTACTGAACTCTGCTCCTGTTACTCTCCCATACTGGGGCTTTCTGCAGAAACAAAATACTAGTTAGAATGTACATTTTCGTCCGACGAGAGGGCTTTCCAATGGCTCAGCCTTCCTGAGAGGGAATTTTTGCCGCCAGCGACCGCGCTCCTCGCTCTCAATGAAGGGAATGGAACTCTAGCGCGAATTTCTACCAGCTTCTGATGATAATAAAACAAGGCAAAGCAAGATCAATATGTGACGGCAATTTTGCTCCTACAGAGTCGCAAATTTCTTATTTAGGACAAGTTGTGACCAGTAGCGTTCCATTGTTAAGGAACTGATGTTCCTATTTGAGCATTAATTTTTATCTGATGGAAGGAGGTCACCGTGTTTTTCTTTGAGTTGTTTAAGTGCATTTCAATGTCAATTCTCTACGTTTTATTCCTTTGCAACACCCTATTTAAACTCGAAAGTGTTAATTCATATTTTGGAATGAAAAAACTTTCTTTATAAACCTGATAGTAGTTGATAGTTATCCGGTAATTAAGCTTGTAACTTTGGATCTGCGATAACGAAGTCTAGAACTAAACCGACTGCGATGAACACTCAGCCATGATGGAACCTTGGAGGGGTCCTGCACAAAATCACACATCATTCTTTAAATTCATTACATCTCGTCTGTTTTGATTATCAACCTATTGGACGCCAAAAGCCCATGGTAAACTATAACCGATTAGACCCTCCAAGAACTAAATGGACACCCTAAAATCCGGGGGCGCTCCCATATAAAAGTGGCCGAGATCTTCGTCGGAGAATTCAAATTAAACCCTTAAAAACGACTCGAAGTAATCGTCTGAATTCAGGCTACCCTTATCCCTGACCAATGTCGGTGTAGCTCAAGCTTACACTAACCCCGGCCCTAAGGGAGATTTCTGTGTGGTCAGTGTCAGGGCTTGTTTTGTAAATTTCTTTACGCACAGTACTAAGCGATACCTGAATGGGCAGATATAGTGACTTTACATCCCGAACACCCTAAGTGAGACCAAAAACTGCAATTTACACCTCGAAGCGCCGAGACGACGATCGATCGAGGAACATTCCCGTCACTTTCATATGGGAGTCCCCCGGGCCCTCAAAGAAGAGTTAAGGAGAGAAGTTATCGTTGCTCAACGATGCCATTGTTGAGCTGTGATTTTGCATAGAAGGTCTAATTATTACTTCATGATGATCAGTGTTGTATTGAGTAGGTCCTGGATTTACTTAGTTTGAAATTCACATAATTGGTCATATGACTCACACAATTGCAAGAAAACAATGATAAATATCGACGTGCTTTACATTTTAGTTTCATTATCCTGTGATAATGCCTGCTAAAGAAAGACAACAAATAAGCTTTCTTGGGTATAGCCATTTTATTTAAGTTAATTATCTTTGGATCGCGTTTGTTATTACATTTATATCGTGCATGATAAAGTTTTCTCACCTTATTAACATAACGATGGAGCTTTGAAGACTTCGGTATGTCAATCACTGAAATCTTTTTGAAGACAAATTTTGATAAGTGTTCGCTTTGATTCTCGATAAATTTCACGATGGAAGGTTCACTCAATTTCTCGATAAGTTTCACGATGGAAGGTTCACTCTTAAGTGATCGCTCGTAAATTTGTCTCTCCAAATATTCACTCTTAAATTTTCGCTCATAAACTAGTGCATCGTAAAGGTTGGGGAACGTGTCGTTCCCCAAAAAGCTATAATCTTTCTCTTGACTGTCTGACTGTCCTCCATGCCTCGTTCTTTTCAAAATGGCGGATAAGATTTCAATGAGCCAGCGATATATCTCAGTCAGCGATATATCCCTAACAATGTAACGTTGAAAAAACGGACCGTCTGCATTTTAAGACCGGTGCCAGCCTTCGGCTGGTCCCCGGTAATAACATCCTGTATTTTCGAGAATTTCTAATCAGCTCTTTGTTGGAGCTTTCTCTCCCTAAATATTCGTTCGGAAAAATTGCTACGCAGGCGATAGAAGAATGGACTACTGAATTTTTTTGAATATTTGTGAACACCAGAACACTCAGAACTTTACACACGCGTACAATTCTCGGACAGATATTAACTGGGAAAGAAAGTCCCCGTTGGCCAAAAATCAGAGGCAAAAAAGCCACGCGAAAGACAAAACGCGCCATTTCCCCATCTTTTATTTTACAGGATGGAGGACGGATTTATTTTCCATCGAATTTTGCCCAAGATAGTGCTCGTTAATCTGAGTGTTTTCAGCAAATACATTAATCAACCTTCGGTCAAGTCTCCTCAGATACTGCGCAACAAAATCCTCCAGAAACAAAGGTAATTACAACCACAGAGGAGTTGAAACACATCTAATCAAATCACATCTCCTGTAGTCTGTGAACAGGCCTTCAGTCGAGCTGGGAACTTGGGAGAGGGAAAAGCGAAAAGGCCTCTTTCCCTCTTTCCCTTCCCTCTACTCCCGATTTTATTTCCCCCAAACAGAGAGCCTGTTCACAGGCTACATCTCCTCCAGTATCTTTAACAAAAATTAATCGTCGCATAGTGTCTTTATCTTTCGAAGTGTTTGATTTGAAATAGGCTATAGCTGCCTGTGTATTTTATTGCGTAGCTAAGTGGAGTTTGTCTAAAATGGTCTCAAAATTTGATGACATTTCGTAGGCTGGAAAATACGGTAAAAAAACCTGCCTCCTTAACATCTAAATTGGGTAGCCTTAAGTTCTAAACTGGTCCAAACTTAGAAAGAGGAAACTTGGGAAGGAAGAGTAACCCAATAACTCCTCGATGTCTGATGAAACGCTCAAAACTTTGTTTTCGTTTCCGTTGCATGTGTACTAACACATACGTAATACTGTACACCAAATTTGGCGATCTCTTTGATAAAAGCTGTTCCAGAAAGGTTCACCAGCACGAAAGTTTCTTTTATTTAAATTACTTAACTTGTCATTTTAGTATAGAAAAAGCCAGTCACTGTTAGATGCTCTTCAGTTTTTTAATCAAAACTTCGGAAAAAGAGTAACATTAATTGAATGAAAAAAGAGAAGAAGGCTAATGACAAGGCTCAGCAAAAGTTCGAATCCAGTTTTTAAATACAGCTCGGAATTTGATTCACGGCGAGCTCAGCCTCCTCCCCAGGCTCTTCGTTTTTTTCCACGGTTTCTCATAGAGGCGAGCGCGAAACGCGAGTGACTGGTGACGAAGCGCAAGGGACCAGCGGCGAGCTACTTTCAAGTCAGCTGACACATGGCCTACAATAAGCGCAGGCGCATTTTTCGAACAAGCAAGGCACGCAGAGTGTGTAGCTGCCTGTGTGTGATTGTGAAAGCAAACTAAGAGCTCATTAAAACTCTGGAAATATTAACTGGTCTCCTACCATTACTCTCTAAAAGGCAGACCCCTCTGTAGAGTAACAGTTATAAACGGTTCCAACGATCGTCTCGAAGAGTTGAGTGTAACACTATTAAACAGAGCGAATTCTAGTACGCGCTCCCAGAAAACACCTGCTGTGACCTGATTTGGTCATTTGGACTTCACGCGTGAGGAGCCTGGGACGGTACAAAAAGGAATTGAACTCTGGGACAATTTTGGAGAGAACACCTCTTGTATTGGCTATCGCAAGAGGCTTGCAAGGTTGTCATCACTTGTGTGAGTGGTTGATGTACCAAACTCTGCTCCTGTTATCTCGTTGGCTTTCTACAGAAACAAAAATATAAGTCAGAATGTACTTTTCCGTCGGACGAGAGGGCTTTCCAATGACTCAGCCGTCTCGCGAGGAAATTTTGGCGGTCAGCGACCTCGCTACTCGCGGTAAAGACAATAAAACTCGCGCGCGAACTTATCATAATAAAATAAGACCAAGATCAATATGTGACGGCAATTTTCTCTCCGACATAAACGCAAATTTCTCATTTAGGACTAGTTGTGGCCAGTGACGTTCCATTGTTAAGGAACTGATGTTCCTATTTTAGCTTTTCTTCTGATGGAAATACGTGTTTTTCTTCGAATAGTTATGTGTGTTTCAAAGTCAATTTGCTAGTATTCCACTACGACAACCTATTCCATCGGAAGTGTTATTCCTCATTGTAGTTGATAATTATCCAGTAATTAAAAAAATAAGCTTGTACCTTTGGATCTGTAACAACGAAGCCAGGAACTAAACTGCGATGAACACTCAGCCACGATGGAACCTTGGAGGGGTCCTACACAAAATCACACATCATTTATAAGTAATAATTAAAAAAAAAATTCATTACAGCTCGTCTATAATTATTGGACGACTAAGGCCCAAGGTATTGTAAGCGACGACCGATTAGAGCCTCTATATGACCTATATGGATACCTTCAAAAAAGATAGAGGAGTAGACGTAGATGAGTTAAGGTGAAACGATAGCCTGACAAGAAATCGTTGCTCAAGGATACCATAGGGTTAATCTGTGTGGAGAACATAAAAAGGGACGGGTAGGGAGAAGGGGAGGGGATTAAAAAGACTCCTGCAATGAGGAACCCTATATTGCTAAACAGACTGAAGATAAGTTAAAGACAAGAGGAGAGGGGAGCGGAGGGGAGGGGATTATAGAGGGGATTAAGGAGACTCCTTCAATGAGTAACCCTATGCTGCTAAACAGACTGAAGATAAGATTAAGGACAAGAGGAGAGGAAAGGGGAGATAACCTTATCTGCTCCCATGTCCTTTCTCTTCCCTCCCCTTCATGCACTTGCTACGCAGGATACACTTGCGTACAGCTTGTAGTACATGCCCTGAACTGAAGTGTTTATAGAAGATTTAACAGATATCTACCTTTATAGAATAACTAAGATAGTACGCGCGTTCTGGTTGGTTAAAAACCTATGGTTCATTGTGCCGGTAAACTCATAGAAAACTTAAAGTTATTTCATAAAAGCAATGGACCACACTTTCTATGGGTTTACCGGCGTGATAACCCACGCGGGATGTTGGGAGAACACTCAAAAGCTTGTAAATCACGAGCCGAGGGGATTATTACCCCGGTAAGCCCATATAAAGTGTGGTCTATCGCTTAATAAAACTCTTTGTCGTCCGCTTTGGTCGTTTTGGGCCCATATGGACCCATGCATATTATTCTCCCTGGACCCATTAGGCTTTCAATTCTAGCTATTAAGATGGTAATTACAAATATCGGCGAAGATAGAGCGCATGTCCAAGTGTACATCATTTAAGAAAATTTTAACCAATCTAAAAGCTCCTGACGGCTCAAGTTGATTAAGGCTTGGTTCTTTACAAATTCCTCAGAATTTTGAAGAGGGGTGGTCAAATGTAACTGTTTTTTTTTTTAAAATACCGTAAAATACCGAAAATAAGCCCCTCCAAGTATAAGCCCCTTCAAATATAAGCCCCCCAATCTTGTGACGCAAAAAACCCTCCGTTAAAGCGCCCCTCCAAATATAAGCCCCTCGGGGGCTTGTACTAGGAAAATTGCCCTCAAAAACAAAGCAAAAATGGTAAATTTACTTCCAACTATAAGGCTAGCCCAATCGATTTTGAAACGCATATTTCCCTCCGTAGGTGAGCCCCTCCAAAAATTAACTCCTCAAAAAGGGCCTTTGAAAAATATAAGCTCCAGTTCTTATTTTCGGAATTTTACAGTATCCCAGGTCTAATAAATTAAGGCTAATTATAACTAAGAAATCTTCAAAGTTCATTTAAAAAATTGTTTATAACTGCATCACGTGACCAGCCACGCCCTGTTTCATCTAGAAATCCTTTGGGTCGAAATGCAAACTATGTAGAAAGCAAACGGTTTTGCTTTTGTAGGTCCAAACAGTGGCTGCCGATAGTGTTCTTGAAAAAAGATTGGAATGAGACGAAAGTGTCCATATTAAGGGGTTGAATTAACAGAAAACTGTGTAAGGGCTTTTTTTTTCCAGGGACAAAAAGTGAGGTGTCTGTATTAATTAAGCGGTTGTCCTCAGCAAAAAGTACCAAGCGATTTGACAAAAATCCACTTTTCATCAAAAAACAACCAAATCTGGCCATTTAATGTAAAATCAGGTGAAAAAATTGGCAAAAGATGATTTTTCGGTTTTTTTATTAAAGAGAAGTTCAACTGTACTGTTGCCTTGCAGTCCTACAAACTGCTCAGTAGACCTACACGTGGCTCGGATGATCATTGGACATAGAAATGATGGTCCATTCTCCGAGAAGAGACGTAAAGATAGTGTCCTCAATTAGTACAAGCGTGCTAAATACATCTTTTTACACTTGAATGAGGTAAACTGGTACGTTTAACGTCAACACATGACGGTCTCATTAACAACGATAAATTTGAAGAAAAAAACATTCTTCACATTTGATTATCCTTTAATGCATTTTCGACAAAAAGTTATACAATTCGGTAAATATATATGTTATAATTTAACGGACCTGAAGATCCTGATGAGAAAAAAGATGGTACTTGAGCTGAGGGCGCGGGAAAAATACTTCCAAAAATACACTAGCTAACAACTAGCAACTGCTGGGAAAAAAAATGAAAAGGGGTACAACGTAAAAAACAATTTTGATACCAAAAAAATTGAACAACCTTAGTAAACTACCCCTGATCGGCAATTAAATGAGACTATACGATATATTTGAAAAATGATTACAAAATATATTTACAATTTGAATGTCACTTCGGCTATAATTACAATTATTATTACAGCCACGATTTTATAATTTATTGTTACATTCACAGAAAAGACAAACTACGCGTGAGGACAACCTAATGCCCCCCCACCCGACGACAGTGCCAAATACCTCACGAATTCAGGATGTTGTTCGGAAAGTTGCGGTTTCTTTTTCTAGATAAAGAAGCCAATTTAAACGTCTCAACAATAATACCACTGGAAAGATCATATTTTCTGGTCAAAAACCTGGATTCGGTTGTTCTCTTTATCACACACAACTATTCTTCCATCACTAAGAGTTGCTGTAGACACTGGACACTTAAACTCTCCTCTCCCGCTACCTTCACTTCCAAAGTTTGTAAAAAACTTTCCACTCAGATCAAGTACCTGAACTCTGTGATTCTTTTCATCACAGACCATAAGCAATCCTTCTTTGTTAACTGACAAGTAACGGGGCTCATTGAATTCTCCATCTTTGATTCCCTGTTTTCCAAATTTAGAAATGAACTTTCCCTCCAGATTAAACATTTTAATGGAATAATTACCACGATCTGAGACTATAAAATATTGACCGTATTGGATACAGTGATGGGGTTTGACCAAAGAACCTGCTCCACCAAATTTACGTGAATACTCCCCACTAGAAGAGAATATCTTGATTAATTTGTTACCTTTATCAGCAACAATAATATCACCGTTGCCGTTTATTGATAAACCTTGAGGGAATTCAAACTGTTTATCACGACTTCCTTTTTCACCAAACATACTAAGAAAGTTACCATTCCTATCAAAGACTTGCACCCTGTGGTTAAAAGAGTCTGCCACTACAATATTGCCATGACTATCAAAAGCGATCCCTTCAGGGCCCTGGAACTCACCATTATTCTGACCCTTTCTACCAAAGGATCTCAAGTGGGTACCGTCACTACTAAACACTGAAACCCTGTTGTTACCGAGCTCAGTCACAGCAATTTCATCCTGATCATTCACTGCCACCCCATAGGGCATGTTAAGCATTCCAACAGACTCACCTTTTTGTCCAAATGACAGCACAGATCTGAAGCGTCTGGTTTTTACCTGAGCCTTAAAAGGACTTTCACAAAAATTTGCCCCTTTATCCCCAGCAACTACTTTATTACTTTCTTTACCTTTAGTTCCTGATTGTTGCGCTTTAGTTTCGCTAAAAACAAACTCTACTTTACCTATCCCCTCGCTCGTGCTCAACAGGTTAATCAGTTTTTCACTTTTAGTGAAACTAAACCGAGGGATACATTCAGTGTCGCGGTTTTCTTTGGTGCTCTGTTCCTGCAGGAGTGAATCAAATGTTTCACTGAATCCCTTGATTTCAGAACTAAAACCTCGTTTTAACAGAGTTTCAGTTTGTTCAATTGCTAATTCAATTAATTTCACTTGTTTTTCCACTTCGCCTTTTTGCTGTAAGAGAGATTCCAGTGATTTTGTCGCTTGATTATCAATCACATCAAAAACATCTTGTTTTTTCGCTTCGATGATTGCAATAGTTTGGTCTACAAAAGACTGCACTTGGCTTTTTACCTCGGCTACTTTCGATTGAAATGCGATGCTTTTTTGGTTGAATTGTTCGACTTCGTTTTGCTTTTCCAGTACTTTGTCTTTTAAAGATTTTATCATGGAGCTAATCTGTGTGTTGCCCTCATCAGAAGCTTCTTGCAAAGGCATCTTAACATGACCTTCATGAAGAGTTACAGCACAAGTGCTACAAATGGCGACTTTACAGCCCTTGCAAAAGAATTTCAGCTCTTCTTTTTCATGGTGTTTCTTCTGACAAAATGCTGGTCGCTCTAATACAGCCTTGATGTCTTGATCTTGAAAATCTTTTAATGCTAGCGTTCTGTGTCATGTCCTAAAATGCATTTCTCGCACCAGAAGGAACAACACTGGAAGCAATACGAGGTCTGGGCACTCCTTTTATCGCAGTTTCCACACTTCACGTTAGCTGTACTACACTCTTTTATTGCTAAGACATCTAGCAGGCTGTTTATTCGAAAATTGGTGGGAAGTTCGCTGGGAGTTCCACTTCCAGAAATCTGAAACTGTCTTCTGCACTCGGGGCATGTAATTTTGCCATGGACGCTGCTTGTTCGTTGAATTTCGTTCAAGCAGTGAAGACAGAAATTGTGCAAACAAGGCAACTGCTTTGGATCAGTGAATGTACACATACACACGGAACAGGATACTTCATCATGAAGATTGTCGAGCAAGGTCTTTATATCCATGGAAAAGGTCGGAAGCAAGAATACGTTTTTAAAATTTTGGCCTCTAGTTGCTGGCGATCAAGAAGCTTCAAGAGAATGGCTTTGCGAATGAACAATAAAGTCTTGTTTTGTGACCCAGACTAAACACTGTATTATTAACCAATCAAATAGAGTTTCTTGACATGTTTTGGTGGTTTGACCGAAGAATAAAAATCATCAAATGTATTTCCGAGAATTTTTAATCAGCTCTTTGAAGCATGGATAAATTGCCCGCAAGCATATGTTCCGCGCGAGATGGTCAAGAAAGTCGAAAGTTAGGAATGAAGGAGCTTTATCCTTAAATCCCGCCAAAACGCGTCATTTCCTCGTCCTTTATTTAACAGGAGAGAGAACGGATTAATTTTCCGTCTATTTTGTCCAAGAATGCGGTCGTTAATCAGTGAGTCTTCAGCAAATACGTTAATTAATCAACCTTCGGCCAAGTCATCCCTGATATATAGTCTGTCCAACAAAATGCTCCAGAAAAAATGGCAGTTGCAGAAAATTTTTATCATTAAATCTTTAGTTTCTGTGGGCCTTTGGGCCATGCAAGCTTAGACTTCCATCCACAGAGTGGTTGAAGGTGCAGTGAAGTATAACAGGCCGGGACTGTTTTTCCTTAAGACCAAGGTGTGTTAGCTTATAGAGTATAATTCAGCCTGCAGGTGCGTTGAAGGTCATGTTAAAGATGCCTTTGCAAGAAGCTACCGACGCACGCAAAAAAAAAGATCAGCTCCGTGATAAAATCTTTGAAAGACAAAGTACAGCAAAAAAAAAAACAGAGGTAAAACGCCAAGTGTAATCTTGTGTAGACAAAATTATTGTGATCATCGAAGCGAAAAAACAAGATGTTTTTGATGCAGTCGGTAATCAAGCGACAAAATCACTGGAATCTCTCTCACAGACAGAAAAAAGACGAAGTAGAAAAACTGAAACTCTGTTGAAACGAAGTTTAGTACTGAAATCCAGGGATTCAGTGAAACATTGGATTCAATCCTGCCGGAACAGCACCAAAGAAAACTGTGACACTGAATTTATTCTTCGGTTTAGTTTCACTAAAAGTGAAAAACTGATTAACGTGTTAAGCATGAGCGAGGGGATAGGTAAAGTAGAATTTGTTTTTAGCGAAACTAAAGCGCAACAATCAGCATCTCAATTGTCCGTAGTTGTCATTTGTTACGGACACCTCGGTGAAGTGCTCTCTTTCGAATAATCTTTTCTACAAAGTTAAATTAGTACTATAATGGTACGAGTCAAAAATTGAGATATTTTAATCTCATTTGTTTTTAACAAGTGCGTGGGCCGGCTGCATCGGAGACTAAAACAGACTGGTCGTGCATGTTTTGATCAGCGTGCTTTCATTGTTAAACATATAACTTTTTTTACTTGTTTTTGTTTGTTTTTGTTTGTTTTTTTACTTTATTAACTTTTCTAATTGCTTGTGAGTTTAAATACGCTTGTATTTTGGGTTTCTTCCCTCTGCCTTCTTTGCAATTTTTTTTGTTTTTCCGTTTTTCTTTCTTTCTTTTTAGTCTCATTTCTTTTTTTTTGCAATTTGTCTTCTCGTTTCTAGACCGGTCCAATAAAGGCCTACAAATATTTGTAAATAAGATCCCGGCTCTTCGCCGCCCTGTATTTTAACACAAAAAGTAAAAGTGCGCAAATTAGTTTTCATCTGCTTACCGAGTATTGTTGCTTACAATATGTGTTTCACTGGTCTTTTCAAATCTTTCGCCAAATCTCCGTCAAATTAACTAAAATCCAGTCATGTTAAGAATGGGGAAAAAATTGTCCTGTTTTATAGATCAAAGCTTATGATAGTATAGCGCAGCAGATAAAAAGCGCGGGAAAAATTGCAAAAGCGGTGGTTATGCTGCGTTTACCGTGGTAGCTGTACCATGGTTTGGTACAGAAACATGGTACATTTTGCATTCCGCTGGCCAAGTTTCAAGCGCGAATTTTTCTCTTCAAATACCTCCCTACAGAAACACTGATTCATAATGTGAGGCTGATTCCACTTTGGATTTAATCCGCTGAATTCAAGCTGAGTGCGGATTTAAAACACTGTGAATCCTATTTTGGTAGGAAACACAGAACCGTGTGGTTCCGTACGCTGTCGTCTAAAGCGATACACGTTTTCCCAGCTCAATTTTTATTAAATTAGACAAAAAGGTATTTCAAAGGATACGCAATAATATATCTTTTGAGTTTCGCGTGATCTTTAAGGTCTTTCGAGAGGAAAATTGTCAGTCCATGTCCATGTGTTTCAAGCGCTGTAAAAAAATATCCAAAAAATAGCAAAAGGATTTCAAATATTCCAATTCGGTCAGCTTATCAAATACATGAGACCATTTTCACTCAACTTTTTGTCAGGCCAGACTTGAATTTGTAGGAATAATGTAAATGAATTCAGAGCAAACCTTCTTCTTAGGCGATCCTTCTTCAGCAGTGTCCAACGCTTTTCTTTCTGTGGCTCATCATTTTCTTTCTTCTTGTGGTTCACCTCTGATTTAGAGTCATTGTCCTCGTCAAAGTCATCAATATCATCATCATCACTTCTATTCTCATCATCTTCATCATCATCATTGTAGTCATGTGGTCATCGTCTTTCACATCTCCTGCTGTATCTTCAACAAAAGTGTTTGATTTGAAATAGGCTGTAACTACTTGTCTATTTTCCTTTGTAGCTAAGTAAGGTTTGTCTAAATTAGTGTCAAAAGTTAATGTCATTTGGTTGGCTGGAAAATACGGTAAAAAAAAACCTGCCGGCTTAACCTGCTAATTGTGTAGCTCTATAAGTTCCAAACTGGTCCAAACTCACAATTAAAGAGGAAACATGAGAAGGAAGAGTAGACAAGGTCAACCCAATAACTCCTCGATGTCTGATGAAACGTTGCTCTTAGCTGCTGCCGACAGTTTTCTGGCCAGCATTCACGCACTCAAAAAAACCAGTGCGCTCCAAACTTTGTTTTCGTTTCCGTTGCCTGTGTACTAACACATACGTAATACTGTACACCAAATTTGGCGATCTCTTCGAACAAAGCTGATCCACAAAGGTTCACATTTAGGTAAGTTTGTCACGTATAGAAAAAGCCACTTACTGTTAGATGCTTTTGAGACCTTGAATAAAACCTGCGGAAAATGCAACAGTTATTGAATGAGAGAAGAGAAGAAGCGTAATGACAAAGCTCCACCCTCGTACCCATCCTCTTCGTTCCTCTTGACCAGCGGTCGGGCAAGCCAGTATGCGCAGTAAGGAACGAAGACTCGAGGTACGAGATTGACAAAGCTCAGTAATGGTTTGAATCCAGTTCTGTTTTTTAACACAGCTCAGAATTTGATTCTGCACGGCGAGCTACTTTATCAGGTGACACATAGCTGTCTGTGTGTGATTGTGAAAGCAAACTAACAGCTCATTAAAATAAACATCTGAAGTTATCCCCTCCCACTACTTTCTACAAGGCGGACGCTTCTCTAGGGTAACAGTAATAAACGGTCGAACGGTAGTCTCAAAGAGTTGAGTGTAACACTATGGTGAGAGCACTGGCCTCCCACCAATGTGGCCCGGGTTCAGTTCCCGGCGTCGACGCCATATGGGGTTGAGTTTGTTGTTGGTTCTCTCCCTTGCTCCGAGAGGTTTTTCTCCGGGTACTCCGGTTTTCCCCTCTCCTAGAAAACCAACACTTCAAATTCCAATTCGATCTGGAACGCACGGACACGTTTAAACGAGTTCATTTGAACTCTTAAGAGTTTGGTGGGTAAAAAAAAAAATAGCAAAAAAAAAAAAACAAATACGCCCACCCACCAACCGACGGACTCCATCT